TGCTCGTCCGGTGTCTGCTGTCACGCTGCCGCCGACTACACGCTGATGCTGGGCCAGCGCACCCGCAGCGACGGCCGCGTCCCAGCTGTCGACCCATGGCTTTAGCAGTCTCTGCTTGCATTGGGCCCAACCATGTGGGGTGTAAGCCCTGGGAGACGAGCCGCCGCCGGGAACGTGGCCGCCTAGCTCCGCTTGTCAGCGACGGCCGGTGTGGTCTTGTCCCCGAGTCCGCTTGTCAGGAGCTATTGCGTTGCCTCCAGATCCGCAGAGCCGTTGTCACGTTTGTGGCGAAACGGCGGCCCGAGTTAGCTGACATGTCATACCATATCACTCAAAGCCGGAACGAAACCGGTGTCCCCGTAGGGCACCTACTTCAGATGGTGTAGGGGACTAGCGCCCCCTCGGGTCCCAGCTTCGGTAGCGGGTAGGCAGCGCAAGCTGCTCATTTCCGGGCCTAGTGACCCTGCGGATAGGTGAACTCCCGCTCCCCTCCATCATTCGGCACTCTCACCACTCATCCTCGTATTGTCGGGGTCGCCGTGCCCTCTCGCTCGCGTCCCCGGGTCGATCAGATCGTGATGGCTGAGGGGCACATCGCGCGAATCAGTCAAGATGCGTCCCAACACTTGACTGATTAGGATACCCGGGGGCGTGGGAAGGGGGGGGGGGAGGTGGACGCGTAGGTCGCCGTACGGGTCCGGGGGGCTGCCACCTACGCTGCACGCCTGCTGCCCACGGCGGGTTTCCGCTTGGTGCGCCCGACTGAGCGCGGTGGCTGAAGGAGTGAAGGGGCGCAGTGCTGAACCACGGTCAGGCCGGTGAGAGGTCTCCCTGGTTACACCTGTCCATATGGGAGGCCTCATTCCCTCCGGATAGCACCGGGGTAGCCCTGGCGGTAACCACCTCCCGGGGGAGTGTTGTGCGGTCCTCCAGCAGAGCTCCGGGGTGAGTGGGGATCCCCGGTACCGAATGTTTAAAACGACTTGCATGAATTTTCTTTCAACCAACCCCACCGGAAACTGCACCTTTGCTGAGACAACTCGGCTAACGACAGCGATGTTCCATTGGTGCAGCTCGGACTGCTGATGGCAGAGCCCCTCGCCTTTGGCCATATTGAGAGATTTTAACACACTGCGTACCACTTGGGGTTGTGATGACAGCAACCTGCGGAAATGTAGTTTTGAACATTTTATTCACGAGCAGTCACTCTGCGCTTTAAATGCGGAATCCCGGACGTATCTCAGTAGCGTCGCGTCAGGCGTCGGTCTTGGACCTACGTTTGGTGAGCCTGCAGCTCGCGCAGGTTTTTGCGTGGACTAGCCGACGAGCCCGTGGGCGGCGATCACTTCCCAGTGTGGTTAGAGTACCGCGACGAGCCGGTCCTCGGCCCTCCACCACGACGGTGGAATATTGAAAGCAGATTGGGGTGAGTTCGAGTCCCGGCTCGAGGTGGACTTGGGTGCATGGTCCGCGGGTGGTGCAAGCGACTCGATCGGACAGACGTCTGCTCTCTGACCTGCAGCGAACTCAAGAATTACAAAGACATCTGGGGCCTCCCGTCGCACCCCGGTGCGGTGGGGGACGGACGAGTGCCGAGCTGTTGTTACCCGGGCACGAAGACGGGCCTTCCGGGCTTTTGACCGTCACACTACAACCGGCAGTTGAGTTGCATTTAGCGAGGCTAGAGCTTTGGCCCGGTGTGGATCTCAGCTCAGTATTCCGCGGTCCCGGTGCCGTTTTACAGGTTGGTGAGCCGGACATTCCTAACGAGATGCGTGACGACATAATCCGACATCTGTGTACTGGACCTTCTCGTAGCCATTTTGGAATCGTCTTTGGAAGCGAGACGAATTTCTGAGTGCTTGGCGAGAAGCTGTTGTGGTGCCCCTTTCGGCACCAGGGAAGAGCGGCAAAGACCAGCTTCACTACAATCCCATCTCTCTGGCATCTTCGCTGCTTAAGCCGATAGAGAGGCCCGTCAATGGTATTTTTGGTTAATCCCTGTGTGGCTTTAGGAAACACCGTGGAACGCTTGACCATCTTCTTACCTTGGATACCGTTGTTCGTGCTACTTCTAAACAGCGTTGCGTGTGGGGGATGTCTCCTGCGACAAAGAGGTTGCTTACGACACCGAATGTTTTCGCGTCTGCGTTGGTCATCAATTCTCTCATCGCTTATTACAACGAAGCGATGAACCCCAGTGTGGTGTACTATGGGACGCGCTTTTTGCGCTTGAGATCGACGACGCCTGAGACGTATTGCCTCAGTTCATAAGTCGCTCGCTGTTCGTCGACGATCTTCCAATCTGGTGCAGGTCGTCTCTTACCTCAGCGATGGAGCGTCAGTGGCAACTAGCCGTAACATGTTCGGAGAAATGGGCGACGCTCAATGGTTTTCAATTCTCCACGTTAAAAACAGAAGGCATGCACTTTTGTTGCCCTTGTAATCGCTGCCAGGGTGTAGCGATTTGAATGTATAGCGAAACGATCCCATCTGAGCCTGTTGTCCCACCCCTGGACGTGCAATTTGATCGCGTCGTCGTCCTGAAATCCTAATCGTCCTGATTGATCGTCGTGAAGTGCATTGCACGCATAGCACGCAGTCATATGGTGCGGACAGGAAAACCGCGGTTGGTTTTACAGCACGCTTTTACTCTTCTATCGTTCCCTTATCAGATCCAAGCTCGATTATGCTTCTTTTGTTTACGACGCGGCTAGTAACTTAGGGAAGCGCTCATTGAGGGCAATCCATCATACTGCCGTGCGCATCACTACAGTAGTATTCAGGACCTATCCGACGACAAGCCTCGATCGATGCCCGCGAGTCCCCTTTGCCCACCACGGGAAATATTCTAGGCATGAGATATGCCTGTTAATTGGCGCAGTTCCCCGACCACCCAAGATATAAATGAGTGTCTCTTCGGGCAGAACAATGCGCGTGTTTCTGACTGGGAGAGGTCATAAGATGCGTTCTTTTGTGTGAGGATATTCGTACTTTCACAGGAATGTGGCGTCTGCACGCGGCATGCGATTCGTTGCGAAATTCCTGAGACCCCTCCATTCGCGCATCTGTCTGTCATCTGTCATACCGGGATCACAAGGAGACTTACACGGGCGGACCAGAAGCGCATGCCGGTGTTGGATGCGCTTTTGTGCAGCGCCTTATCACCCGGTCTTTCGCTTTGCTGGGTCATGTATCGGTCTACACGTCCGAACTAGTAGCCATTTTTAGAGCGCTCTATTTCATAGTACGGGGCAGTGACGATCGACACGCAGTTTGATCGCACTCTTTTATCAACCTTACGGCTTTGCAGGATTTTGATTCATGGCCTCCTTTCGTTCACGTTTAGCTCTCGTTATTATGCTGTTCCGACCCGGTAAGTAGGTTGTATTCTACTTGATACCGAGTCACGTTGGTACATCGAGCAATGAAGTAGCTGATGCCGCGGCGAAGCGTGCCACACACACACAAGTCGCTTCCCCACTATGACAGTCCCTGCCAGCGACCTGTATGCAGAAGTAACCGCATTCACGCACAAGCAGTGGCAAACGAATTGGGATGTGCACACTGCCAGCAAACTGAGAAGGACCGGTCGGGGACCATGGACGTCCAGCTGCCGTAAGTTAAGGCGGGATAAAGTGATCCTATGCCGCCTGAGTACATACGCGACTCACCGATGCCTGTTATGTGGGGAAGATCAACCGCGGTGTCCTCGCTGTGGGGAGCGTTACACCGAGCGTCATGTCTTGATAGATTGTGCGCACCTCGCTTTGGAACGCGTGCGCCATTTTGGATCAGGTTCCGTGCGCCATACGCTGTCTGGCATCTTCGGGGATGACTCGAGTTCGGTAAACGACGGTCATGTTTTAGATTTTGTTGAAGACGTGCATTTCATGCCAAATACCGTACGTAAGATTGTTTCCGTGCTTTTTTTCGCGCATCTGTCAAATAAAAAGTAAGTGGTGGACGCCATATGACCATTACACCCGGCGCGCTCTAAAGCCCTTATCACGATCATCAACGATACCAGTGTCCCCAACTCAGAGGGTTAGAGGGCCCATCTGCGTGAGCCCACGTCCCACAGCGCAGCTTTCATCGATACATCCCGAAATGTCGGGGGATGAGCCAAACACTTTCTTGAGTGACGAAATCACTCAAGTGAAAGAAATTCAGTTCATCGACGTCTTTTTTAGCGGGGGGGGGGGGTAACAGTATGTTCCCCCTTGCTCTTAACGCGGCTTAACGCTTGCGATTGTCGTGCTACCGCACACTTCCGGCTCGCTTTGGTCCGTCGCACATGTGATTACTGCGTTACGACGCACGCCCGGGCCGGCCGCGGCTTGTCTGCATGCAGCTGTCTCTCCCTCGCCTCGCCCACTGCTGCATGTGGCCTTAGCAGCCCGCCCTTTTCGTTTGTCTGCTGTGTGAAAAGTGATCATAACTGACATTGATCGGCTCAGTCAGTGACATTAGGCAAGAGACACGTAGACCCCGTTGTTCCCTCTATTTCATTTCGACGAACGCAGTGCACGTCGCCGTTGTCCCATTTTTTAATTTCATCGTGTCCCGCGACCGCTCGGGGCACGGGGCCCATCAAATGAAATACCACTTTGTTTCTAAATTTGGCGAAATGCTGGCCTTGTAAGAAGACAGCTCACAGCGAAACGGAATGTATGAAATTAGTCGCGAAGGCATGCCGGAATTTTCCACATATTTAGCTAAAAAAAAACAGCTAGCGTAATTGTTCAAGAAAGCTTTTACGCGGTGGCTCAAAATACGTGCATTTGGTCGCCATGGTCAGGCGCGGTGCTCTTGCTGTTTTGATATTGAAACATTTTTGCATTATTCACTATGACTTCTTGTGTATTTGATTTTCAGGGCCATGATAAAAATTAACAAGCAGACCAGTGTCAAAATTCGACCGGGGACGCGATGTCTCCTCCAACTGCGCTGTGAAGGTTCGTCATGAATCAACAACTCTTCGAAGAGTGGTGTTCGCCATGTACCTGCACATCTGCATGGTGGACATGGGTGGATGTACTATGCGTGTGTTTGGCTCAAAGAAGCTCCTCGGGCGCCGCGCTTGATCTGGATGTTACGCGAATCACTGACAGACAATATGTACTCGAGCACCTCCAGATACCGAATATTGAAAATGCTGATACGATTACTGCCTCGGCATGCACTAGCGCGGTTTACCGTAGCGCGGCCGCGAACGCTTTGTATCAGCATTAGTATGTACGAGCCTGGGCGGCTGTGTCGCCGATCACGCGTCCGGACCGGTCGCCGTCGCGGCCAGCTGATGGTGCGTGTCCGGCAGCGCTGATCTCGGCCCGGCGGGATGCCACCCACCCAGAGTTGGGCGCCTTGGTGGTGGTGGATCTGCCGCAGCGGACCCAGCAGGGTGTCCCAGCGCGGCGCGCGTTCGTCCAGGCGTTTGCCTACGTCGAGCACCTCAAGCGGCAGGCGCTGGGCAGCGCCCAGCTCAGACAGGTGAGCGGCTTCACTGCATTTCGAGACGTTCTCTGTGGATTTCGGTCGTATTTCGCACGGACAGGAATGCACCGCTGCGTTGTGACTGTCTGGGGTGGCCGTCGCGCGGCCGACGCCATCGCTGCCGCCATGGCGTCGGCCGCGCTGTCGTGGTGCCGGCCGCGGCTGCTGGGTGGCGCGGCCGTCTGACGGCGGTGCGCGGCGCCCGCCAGAGGCTGGAGCAGTTCGCCGGCGTGCTGCGGGACGGGCTCAGCGCGGAGCAACGGCTCGGCCAGTACGCAATCGCCAGCTGCACGCTGCTGCTTGCGGCAACCGCGAGGGGCTGGCCGAGGGCCACTGGGACCTACCGGTCAAGATGTCGGTAAGTGGTGCGCGGCGGCGCGTCTGACATCGGGCCGGCCATGATTGGGGTAGCCGCCGGGCGGAACGGAGATGATTGGTTCGTTCCTTTGGGAAAAACCTCCGCGGGCATTTGTGAGCATGCACTTCTAAGTTGCCTCGTCTAAACTGTTGGCACCAGGAACCCTTCTCTAAAATATCCTATAAAAACATGTTAAGACCCAGACCCTCGCTGACACGTGAGGGACAACGGCCAACTGTATGGTGATGCTGCCGTGCCCGGCCTGGCCGCCTCTCCTGCCACCGCTGCCCTCGCCTTGGCTGGCCACACGTCGCAGCTGTCCGGACCTAACGCGCCCCCCGTCGCGGCCGCAGTCGGTCAGCTACATCCGCTCCGACCTGCGGCTCTTCTCGTCCGTGCGCCAGCTGGGCGAGTCGCCGCTGCTGCACGCCCTGCTCGACCCTGTCCGCTGGCAGGACGTGTACCGGCTGCCGGAGCTACCGACCGGGCTGCCGGCCGGCACCGAGGTCAGCTGGCCAGACCTTGGTCCCCGCCGCTGTCTGGGGCCGGGTGCGCGCCGCGCCGCGCCGCGCCGGCGCCCGTTCCGTCGGGTGCCTGAAGCCGCGTCCGTGTTTGCACATGGTTGCAGATGCTATGCTGGCGTTACCGTATAGTTGTGGGTTCGCTGCTGCGCTGGCTCGTGCCCCATGAGTGTAGAGTTCTTTGCTGGCATTCGCCGTTCTTTAATATACCAGAAGGCACTGGTTAAACGATGTGACCCTGAGTACGCCTTGGAACTTCGAGTATGGACCAATGCTTGCTAAATAGCGTCGTTCAACTAGCGTCTCCTCGGATATGGGAAGTTGATAATGTCAGCAGAGGAACTCGGAGCCCATAATGCCGATAAGCCAGGAGTTCAACGTCTTTCTTGCTTATATCAAATTTGCTCGTGGTTGTAAATCCGCATTGCGGCCGCCGTAGCTCTAGAACCATTCTTACGTTTGTGCGTGGTGGGATAATGGTATCTGTGTCTGCACATCTGCAATAACGGGGCAAGCATCGCGACGCGGAAAGTTTCGCCAATAAATGATTTCGTTCGACTGGAATCTGGCGATCGGATGTTGTGGTCACCGTTCGCTTTAGAGGCGCTGCAGAGCGCGGGCTTTGGTGCCAAAACCTTAAACAGTTAAAAAGATATACACCGAATTCGTTGCTTTCTTTTAACAAATTCATTGCAGACCTTTAATTGGTTTACATAGTTGTATGATGTGCTAGTGTTTCTTAATGGCTGAAGGTTAACTTACGCCTGTGTTTGTGCATGGTTGTGGACTGGCACTTGCGCTTACGCATGGTCTAGACCCGTACTCGTGTTCACACATGGTTGTGGACGCACACTTGTGCTTGTGGACTTTGGTCGTGGACTTGCGTTTTCCAGTCGTCATTGGCGCTTTAGGACACGCTTGGCAGCCGAGACGTTGCGTGTGTCGTAGCCTAGTTGAAGAGGCCGGGTAGGAGCTCCAAAAGCCCCCAAGCCCCAGCTCCGACAGACGTCTGTCACCGCCTATCCCCCGTGCCACTGCCAGCCGCCGGCCCCGGCCTCGGCGAGGCCCGGAGAGTGGGCCCTGCCGCGACTGACGCCCCGCCTCGCCGGCAGCACGCGGCGCTGAACGCCACGCAGCGGGACATAGTGCTGCGGGTGGCGCGAGCAGTGACGGACCGACCCGACCGGCCCAGCATCAGTGTGATCCGCGGACCACCAGGTGGGTGCCGCGGCCCGCCCGACCGACCGCCCGCTTGCCATGGAGTGTGCGGCTGGTAGGATGTCTGTTAAAGACCAGAGGGATCTGTTTAAGACCGGATGGATCGAAGGGCGGCTGCGGTCAGACGACGCGCCAGTGCACGAGTTGCGAGCGGCTCTTAAATTGTAGGAGATAGCGCAGTCAGCACCGCATAGCATGCGCGAGGCTTTTGCAGTTCGAAACTACGGACAAGATACCTGCCGCACTGCGTGCTTCTTGACACACTGGCACGTGATGTTCCTCGGGCAGTCAGTCATGTTCCAGCGCAATGTCACATACGTATTGTGATAGACCTAATAAACAGTGAAGTTGCCATGAAGTATTTCAATTTGACTCTAAATGGCAGCCTATCTCGCATAAATTAGCAGCAGCATGGGGACGCGTCGAAGGCTGCTCTCGATAACGCGCACGTTGCCTCGCCATCATGGTCGTACTGAACACCACTGGGGTCCGTGGGGTCGGAAGCCAAGCAGCTTTTGGGAAGAATGGACTATTCTTGTGTTTTGACCACATAAATTGGCACCGAAACAGATGTGGGCGCGTGCAACAATTCGGCTTGGTTGGCTGTATCCATGCTTACCATAAGCACTTGCAGCCAAATGCCGCGCAACTGATTACCGTCGCCCGCCGGCGGCGGCAGTGGCCAGGCCGTACTCTGGCCCAGCGGAGGGCGACGTCGCCCCTGACGTGCTCACGGCCCGGCCTCAGGCACCGGCAAGACGCGGCTGGTGGTTTCGCTTGTGAAGCAGATCCTGTTCTCGGCTGGCGCGGAGCAGGACCGGCGCGTGCTCCTCTGTGCCCCCTCCAACGCCGCTGTCGATGAGGTCGCCAAACGGCTGTTGGAGGAGCGTGCCGTTCTGACGCGGCGGACCCCAGGCTCACGTGCGTATGCCCGCACAGACGGGGCGGGGGCGGGGGCGACCTGACCGGCCTGCGTGTGGGCCGGCCGGGCCCAGCAGCACCGGCCGCGGTGCCGCCGTACCGGTCCCGGCGGCTCCACCGATGTTTGCTGATATGCACTAGTGCTGCCAGCTGCCAGTCGCTCCGGTTTGGACTGTGGAGGCCGTTCTCGGCGTGCTGTAGTGTCTGACGGTGGAGGAGCGGCTCGAGTATTCCGTGCGCGGCTTCGCCTCATCAGGCTGGTGCGGCTCCGTCCTCACGCGCGTCGTGCGTCTCGCAGCGAACGTCCCGGAGATCCGCGTGGTACGCTTCGGCCGCCGCTCGCAGATCGCCGATGCCGTCGCGCGCATCAGCCTGGATGAGCTGGTGGACGCCAACGTCAAGCAGCTGCTGAAGAAGCAGGTGCCGCAGAGTGCCAGCTGTAGTCACGAGGTGGGGGCCGCTCGCGCGGAGGCGGAAGAGCGAGGCGACGTGCATGGCAACTTTCGGCTCGGTCTGGGCCGCTGAGAGGGGCGGGGAATCGATTCGTTTGAAAATGCGTGTGAGGGAAGCCGGCGATGTGTTGGCGCTACTCGCTGAAGTCATGGATGGGACATCTCATCTGTGTGGCAAACGGCGAATTTTGCGGTTTGGGCAGCTGCTTCATGTTCAGTCAGTTGAATGCTGCGCGTTTTGCACCACTTCCAAAAGAAGGTCTACAGTGGGTTCGGTGAGGCAACTGAGCGGTGTTTGATGGGCGCTGCATGGCCGCGCGTCGGCAGCGTTCGTAGACCAGGGGTGACCCGCCGCTGACGCACCCCCGGCACCGCCCGCCTGTGCACAGATGGCACAGATGAAAATGCGGATCCGCACGATCGAGGAGAAGCTGCAGAAGCTGAAGCCGGGTGACGGTGACGAGCACGAGCTGCGCGCCGCGCTGCGGGACCTGATCGAGCAGCGCAGGGGTCTGCAGCAGCCGGCCGCGGTTAGTGAGCATCCAGAGTCCGTCCGCCATGTCCCGCCGCTTTGGGTGGGACGCGAACCGTTCAGATGTTACGGAAGGTGGGTGATGTGGTTGATTATGCAGCCGGGGGTGCTCCAGCCTGTGTTGGCTGGTGTCCCCTTGTCTCCCGTGACGGTAGCGTAGCCGCCATCAGGAACGCATTCAGAGATGATACCGGAAGCCACGTGTTCCTTCCCCCCCTCCCCCCCCTACTCCCCACCCTCACAACGAAATTCTGCATGCGTATACGCACCTGGTCTCCAATCACGCGCATTTGTGCCGCGCCCGTCGTGTGGCATGCTCTCTCTCCTCGCTCTCGCTCTCTCTCTTCTCTCCTCTCTCTCTCTCTCTCTCTCTCCTCTCTCTCTCTCTCTCTCTCTCTCTCTCTCTCTCTCTCCTCTCTCTCTCTCTCTCTCTCTCCTCTCTCTCTCTCTCTCTCTCTCTCTCTCTCTCTCTCTCTTCTCTCTCTCTCTCTCCTCTCTCCTCTCTCTCTCTCTCTCTCTCTCTCTCTCTCTCTCTCTCTCTCTCTCTCTCTCTCTCTCTCTCTCTCTCTCTCTCTCTATCTCTCTCTTCTCTCTCTCTCTCTCTCTCTCTCTCTCTCTCTCTCTCTCTCTCTCTCTCTCTCTCTCTCTCTCTCTCTCTCTCTCTCTCTCTCTCTCTCTCTCTCTCTCTCTCTCTCGCTCTCGCTCTCTCGCTCTCTCGCTCTCTCGCTCTCTCGCTCTCTCTCTCTCCACCTTCCGACCCTCATATCCCGATGCCACGTGGCGTCCTGGCCGCTCGGACCCCAGCTGACCCCAGCTACTCGCCCCATGTCCCCGGCTTCCAGGTGGAGGGACAGGACCTGCAGCGGCTGAAGGAGAAGCAGCGGGACCAGCTGCTGAAAGGTGCCACTGTCATCGCTACGACGCTGGCCAGTTCCGTAGCGCAGCTCCTGACCAACGTCTTTCAGTCGTGAGTGCGATGGTGTTCGGCCTCGGCCTTACTTCGCCGACCTCGGCTGGCGTTTACACTGGCTGCTGTGGCCTGTGGTGATCAGTGGCGGCGCGCGAAATCCACGTGATTGTGCACGACGCGGACGCACAAGCAGGCTTCGTTGAATGCGCTTCTCTTGTGTGGGGGCTCAATTGCCCCCCCCCCCCTGAGATCTCGGAAACTAAGATAGCTAGAGGCACCAAATTCACAGGTTGGGTTGACCTGCGTTTCGAATCGCATGTGTCAAAATAAGAGGTTCGTATTTCATGACCTTGGGTTCGGGTGATGTCAAAAAGGCCAAACTCTAGATTGGTGTCCAAAGTGTCCTCAGACCTCGTCATGCAACCGCCATGCACCTAAATGCCTGTTGTTAACAGAAGGTCAGTGGTGTTCATTTGGGACCAGTTAATTTGTGTGACTTTCATAAGATTAAGGTGACCAAAAGATCCGCTATCCAATTGCCTCATTGATATGCTATGTTTGGCGCGGCTGCGCCGCGCCGTCCGGAAATCATTCGGAGCAAATTTCGAGGCAGGGAAGAGGTCAAGCTGACCCCCAAACCTGGACGCGTGTTAAGCTCGGCAAAGGCCACCTGACATGTATTGTCGTGAGGTGTGCTAGCTCAGTCGACATGCCAACTGAATCCTTCAATGGAAAAGCTGCATTTGCATTTCAACTCGGTACCAGCTGCAGTTAATGGTGTATGGTAAGCATGAGCACATTTTCGACCGCACCTGCCGTTCGTTCACGGTGCATGAACATCACCTGTGGGCCTGCAGACGCCCCTCGCAGTCGGCCAGGCTTGTATCGTTGATAGACGCGTCCGTCGGCTCTCAGTAAACGGTGTCAGTTGTGTCAGGTGGTAGAACCGGCGGTAGCGAGCGCGATGCGGCCGGGCCGAACGGCGCGCGCCGCCTGCAGCCGCCGTCACCCGGATGTATCGTCTGACCTCGGCTGGGTCACAGGAGGCCGTCACCGTTCACCTGTTGCATCGTGGACGAGGCAGGCCAGTGCACGGAGCCAGACGTGCTCATTCCACTCGAGTACGGCATCAAGAAGCTGGTGCTGGTCGGCGACCCGGCCCAGCTGCCGCCCACCGTCGTGTCCGAGGTACCGTCAGCCAGGCTCGCTCCTTTACCGGGCTGTGAAACACGGGCACTGGCGGGCTGTGGTCCGCCTCCATTCCTCCCCCGCTGCCCTCTCCCCGCTCCCCGGCAGTAAGCCCTGGTGGCGGCCCGCGCTCCCACTCAGGCCGAATGTAACCCAGGGTGCAGCGCGGAGCAGGGCCTGTGTCCGCTGCCCTCACCCGCTACCTCCCTCTCCTTTCCGTCGCCGTGCTGTTCGTCCCTTCCCGCTCCCGTGTCGCGGTTAGTCAGTGCACCACGTGCCGAAACGCCTTCGAGTGCCACGTACCGCGAGGCCTCTGTGCGCTACGTTCCGCCAGTTCTCCGGGCACCCCGTGCTGTGTCGCTGTGCGCACGCACGCACGCATGCGCACCCATGCTGCTGTTCCCGCCTCCACCAGCTGACCCGGCCGCCTTGTTGGGCCCCCAGACGGCGCAACAGTATGGCTTGGCCCGTCCGCTCCTGAAGCGGCTTTACCAGCTGTTCCTGGCCTCGAAGGAGACGAGCCCTGTGGTGATGCTCACGGACCAGTACCGCATGCAGCCGGACATCTGCCGCTGGCCGGCCCGCTACTTCTACGGCGACCGACTGCGCTCGCTGCCGGTCGCCGCGCCGCTGCCGCGCCTCCGCAGCTACCTGGTGCTGGACGTCTGTGGGGCGCGCGAGACCAGCCACGCCAACGGGTGAGGGCGGTGCGGACGGCGGCCGGCGGCCGGCTCGCGGCTCCGGCGGTCCGGCGATCCGAGAGTGGGCCGCCGATCGCAGCTGGAGTGTGTGTCTGACCGAGCCAGAGGTCACGCTCAGTGTGACCTAACATGGCGAAGGCTAGGTGTAGGCATGACACTTTTATTTGTGAATGTTCTTCGATGCTAGGCGAAAGTGGGCCGTTTTGCACTGTGGCGCGGTTGCCATGCCTCCACCATTAAGCACTGGATAATTTGCTGGGCTGAAGATATCACAGACTCGATGAACGTGGCGACAAGAAATGTTGAAAACATGTCAACGAGTGGTGCAATTGTTGCGACAGGGGCTTCTCGAATGAGAAAGAGGCGACTCTGGTGGTGAAACTCAGCGAGATCGCGCTGCGCGTGGCCAAGAGCAGAGCCCCCTCCATCGGCATCATCACCCCGTACCGCAAACAGAGGCAGCTCCTCCTGGACAAGCTCAAGCAAAGGTGAATGTCGCACGCGGCCGCAAATATTCTCCTCGGCGTTGGCTTTCCGACACTCCACCTGCGAGCACTTCCGTGCCCGCATCATCCCCGCCATGATGCCTCTGACTGGGGTGTCCCAGACACGCCGTCACGGACCGGGGCTGTCCTAATCATTCTGTCAGGGACCTGGGGCACTAGGCATCCTGTCACGGACCGGGGCTGTCCTAATCATTCTGTCAGGGACCTGGGGCATTCTAAGTATCCTGTCATGGATCGGGGCTGTCCTAATCATTCTGTCAGGGACCTGGGGCATTCTAAGTATCCTGTCATGGATCGGGGTGTCCAACGCTTTCTGACGTGGACTTCCAAGACTTTCGGTATCCAAGTCTTTTTGGGTGGCAGGGAATTTTACGTGCTGGCACTGGCACTAGCACTAGCACTAGCACTAGCACTAGCACTAGCACTAGCACTAGCATTAGCATTAGCACTAGTGCTAGCACTAGCATTAGCACTAGCACTGGGACAGGCACTAGCACTGGTGCTGACACTGGCACTGGCACTACCACTACCACTACCACTACCACTACCACTAGCACTAGCACTAGCATTAGCATTAGCACTAGCACTAGCACTGGTATAGGCACTAGCACTGGCACTGGCACTGACACTGACACTGGCACTGGCACTGGCACTGGCACTAGCATTAGCACTAGCACTAGCACAAACACTAGCACTGGCACTGGCACTGGCACTGGCACTGGCACTGGCACTGGCACTGGCACTGGCACTGGCACTGGCACTGGCCATTGGGGGGGGGGGATATTTGAGGCTACTTGAACTGTAATTAGCCAACTCAGTGACTGTTCAATAACAAAGTTAGCTCGTTGAAGCTTAAGGGCAATGCTCCACATTTGACGATATTTAGGCAAGGATCAGATATGACGAAGTAACCTCACTTGCAACTATTGGACAGCAAATTTGTACTATATAGGTGTGTTGTTGCAAGCCTATGTTATGCACGATATTCCCTTTTTGTGAGTGTCCTCCTCAGTATGCGTCATTTGATAACATCATGGAACTTTTTATGACGTCTGAGGGGTCGCCCAACTGGCCGTGCAAAATTGGCACCGTAGCGGACGGGCTAACTCACTTGTATGGCAGTACATCAACTTCTCGTGAGGTATCTTGCTAATCGGTGCGGTGTTTCCCGAACACAACTATTGATACGCAAGGGAGAACAATAAAGATTTCTTTGATTACCAGTCTTATTTCCGCCGTAACTCGTGTCATTGTCCAATATCCTGTGTGATGCACCACAAAACGTGATTTCCGTTTGAAACTCACGCTGAACGAACAACACTGGTTGGCAGCAAGTTGAAGTCCGTGGGTGCCAGAAGCATGTGTATATTGACCTTGAGCACATGGCTTGTGGGCGACAGCACGGGCGTGAAGCTCCCATGGCGTCATGTATGCCTGGGCAGCCTTGAAAAAGTCGGCGCGAAATAGTCTGTACAAGTTCGCGGCCGTCTAGCTTACAAACAAGAGGGTTCCAAGTCTTAAAAAGGGCAGGGCTGTGAGTTGCACTGGTTGATCTTCAAAATGTCTCTCTCAGCCTAAAACGGCATGCGAATGTAAAACACTGGTTTTAAGCCGGAAATTGTGTTGTCTGTTTTTCTTTTGCTTGTGCGCGTTTGATTCAGCGATCAACCTGAAGCTGTAACTAATTTGCATTTGGAGTGAAGCTCTTGTGGTGGATGATCGGATAAAATCGTTTTCCTGTCTGCAGATCCATGAATTAGCATTGCTCCTAGGGCTCTCTGGAGTCGTGGCCACACCATTGCGGGCTTGTTGCCACATCTGTCTTTGCAAGCGCAGTCGTGACATTGTGCGGACCACGCAATGTGTCAAATGGCCTGCGGTTAAACAATGACGTCCGAAGCAGGTGGAGGCCCCGCCGGGAGGGCGCCCGGTGGAGGTCGCGTTTTGACGGGCGTCGGCCGCCGCAGGGCCTTGTCCGTCGACGTGCAGACGGTGGACGGCTTCCAGGGCCAGGAGCGCGACATCGTCGTGCTCTCGTGCGTGCGCTCCAATGGAGCCGGCAGTCTCGGCTTCGTGGACGACCGGCGGCGCCTAAACGTGGCGCTGACGCGCGCCCGCTGCTGCCTCTACGTGTGCGGCCACCTCGGCACGCTGAAGGTGAGCCACTCGCTGATGCGTGCGCTGGTGACGTGATTGTGGTTGGCGTCTGTGATTGTGATTGGTGTTGTCTGTGATTGTGGTTGTGTGACCCTGATGTGAGGCGCGGAGCTGGTGCGGATGATGATGACCATGTCGCGTGGTCTCACTATTCTGCCCGTGGTTTGGGCTCGCCTCGTGGGCTGACAATCGGCCAGAGACTGACCGACAGTCCAGAGACTGTCTCCGGACTTGAGACTGCCCAGACTCCTGACCGACTGCCGAGCGCTGGGCCGGGGCCGCGGCTGCGTTCAGACCTTGTCCGAGGCGTACGCGAGGAGCGACTGCAGCCACGTGGTCCGACCGTAGGTGGCCGCTGTGTGCGCACGCCGCTGCGGTGTCGGGTGCGCCCCCGTGAAGGTCAGCTCGGCGGAATGCACTTGCAGTGGGGGTCGCCGGCCGTGCCTCCCGCGGGGCGCGCGCGTCTGCCAAGCCGCCGCGCTGGGCTGGCTCGGCCGCCCGCCGCGGCCCGTCAGCGGCGCCACACCGCTGCACGCGCCGCGGTTGTGGCGCCGCTGGCGGGCCGGCCGACCACCGCCTGCCGCTGTGACGTCGGCTTCGCTGCTTCAGGCGGACCAGGTCTGGTCGCACCTGATCCAGGACGCCCGTGAACGACGGATGGTGGTCACCGTGCCCAACGAAGCTATCTGCGACCAGTTTCTGGAGTCACGGCTATGCAGCGACACGTCCGGCTCCGTTGTCAACTAGTGCCTTCAAGGCCGACCAGTAGATGGGGCGTCGCTCAGATTTCTTGCGCCTGTTTTTATTGATGTGATGCGACCACGGAGTTGGTGGGGGAGGGGAGGGGGGCGCACTCCGTGTTAAAGAGAGTGGAATGATTTACTGTGGTGGAGCTGTGACGTTTTTGTTACCAAGGCGGCCACTGCCCTTCTTTGCGCGATTCTTATCACTGCGATGCTGTATGCAGTCTTCCTAATTTACCAGCTTTTGTGCGATTTGGGATAAGTACGATACGTTAAGTTACCTGCTTTGTACACTTCAGCTGGCATGTATGGCTGAGGCTGCATTTTGACGAGACATTTGACCTGAATGGTGCGACAGAGAGGATAAACTTCGAGCCCTTTAGCAGTGGTAGTACCGGTATCGGAGCGGGGATCGTAGCGTTGTGCGGATGGGCCAATGGGCCCCGGGCTCGCCGAGGCCGTGCCGCTGGATAGACTAGGAGAGTGCCGCACTGCTGCGGGGCCATGGCGCCCCGGGCTCGCCGTGGCCGTACTGCTGGATGGACTGAGAGAATGCCGCACTGCTGCGACGCGCTCGCCGCTGCAGAGCAGCACTGTCCACCTCTCCCGTGTTGTTTTTGTGTTATTCCAGCCCAGTTCACGAGAGGTTCGGCACCCGGCCTGTGTCACGTTGGTGCTCACACCTGCGTCGGAGCAGGCGTCGGGCACAAGCAAAAGCCTCGACGAGGGTAATCATCCGAGCGAACAAACAGCACCACGTGGGTCTGTGCTGTGAACCTTTGATGCATTGAAATAAATGATACGAATAGAGCGGAGTTGAATAAACGCATTCATTTGAATGCTTGAAATGTCAGAACGTGGGGGGGGGGGTGTCCCGGTTTTACTGGAGCGGTTCGGGGGGGGGGGGGGGGGAAGCGAGGATGAAAAAGAGAGGGTGAGCGCGGTATGGTCGAAGATGCTGTGGAACCAACGCTACGAGGCTTTGGTCAGTTCCGTCATCAAAGTTTTGGGCTGGAGTTCGTCGTAGCTGGGCGGCATCCCAACTGTATGCTACACTGCGCCACTGACTGAGAAGGTAAACCTGATCAAGGATGGAGTAGCCACAGCAAAGAGCATTTTCCGGCCGGCATCATGCACAGGGATCTGAGCACCATCATCTTCACTGCCGATCCGATGGCTGCGTCAGCGCAGAGCCTTTTATGTAAATCGCAGACACCGAGCACTTGCGTTTCCTGTCGCGACGAATCACGCCCTGTGCAAGTCGAGTCGACTGGCACAGAGTGTTTGCGCGAGCCAAGCCCCCGGCATCGCGGGGTGGCGCGGCTCAAGCACCCCTTGTCTGCAGGACAGTCGATACCTCAGATAGGCTAGGCTCGGTCGATCCGGTCCCCACCAGCCGATAGCGGCGATAGAGCGCAGCAAGCCAGATCGGTGTGCGGCGTGGCCGGCGGCGGAGATGGCGGCGCCGGTGCTCGCTTGGCTGGCGGCGGCGGCGGTGGTGCTGGCCGTGCGAGCCGAGGCGCCGGTCGGCGCGGACGCCCCGCGCCCCGCCGCCCGTTTGGCGCCGTTCGGCGGGTGCGTGCCGGTCGCGGCGGGCCGGCTGCCGGCCGGCGTGCTGGCCAGGCTGCTGAAGCTCACGTGCGGAGTGCCGGACGCGACGCGTGAGCGTTGGTCAGACCGCAGCTGGCCGAGGCCCGGCGCGCGGCCCGCCTCCGCGGCTGCGGCGCTCGGCGGCGCCCGGCGTGGCAGCGGAGCGGTGACAGACTGGGCGCGCGCGAGGAAGGCGCCTCCGGCCGCAGGGTCCAGGCGCACAGTGCGCACTTACGAGTTGGAGGAGTCCGACACGTTGGAGGAGTCCGATGAGCTCACGCGCGACGAGGCGACGAGCGACGGCGAGACGTCGTTTGATTGGCTGCTGGGCTGGCTCGCGCCCTTCCAGTCGGGCGTACCCGGCGAGCTGTGCCGTAACGACAGCCGGGCTTACCTGCACGCGCTGCTGAGTCGGCCGCCAGCCGGCTGGGCGCTGCGCATGGCCGACGCCTCAGGAAAGCTGCCGGACGGCGTGCTGTTCGGCAACCTGAACCTGCTCGGCGCCTGGGACGAGTGTCTGGCTGTGCAGGCGGCGCTTAACGCCTCGCGTGGCCTGCAGTCGTCCGCGCGCGGCTTCTCTGGCCGGCTCTGCGCGGCCGCGATTGTGCCGGACGCCAGCAACACGTCTGCACCCAGCAGGACGGGCCTGCAGCTGGCACCAGCACTGCCGATGCTGGCCGACCTCCTGCCGGGCGCCGTGCGCTACGCCTATTGCGTGCCCTCGTCGTGCGGCGCGCACGACGTGCGCACCTCGCTGGGCCTGCTGCTGAACGGCAGCGGGCTGCGCGCCGTCGTCGGCGAGTGTCACGGCCGCGACGACGCGCCGGTGCTCGACGGCGGCGACTGGGCGGCCGTCGCCTTCCTGACGTTGACGGGACTTGTAGTGCTCGGCTGCACGGCTGTCGACGTGGCTGCTACGCACGCGAAGCGCGCCCGGGTGCTGCCCGTGTACAGAGGCGCACCGCTGCCACCCGGCTGGCGGACGGTATTCGTACGCGCGTTCTCGCTGTATCGCAACGTGCGACGTCTGCTGAGCGTGCAGACGTCTCCGGACAGCATCGGCTGCCTACACGGCCTACGCTTCATCTCCATGACCTGGGTCATCCTCGGCCACACGTACATCGTCGGCTTCCTGCTGCTGCCGCTGAGCAACATGGGTGCACTGCTGGAGGTCATTCGGCCTCTGCCGTTCCAGGCCATCATGAACGCGCCCCCCGCTGTCGACACGTTTCTGCTGCTCAGCGGCGCTATGTTCTCCTACTCACTGATGAACGCGCAGCGTGCCGGCCGCGGGATCGGCGTGCGCGAGGTGCTCAGCATGTACGTGCACCGGTATCTGCGCCTGACGCCGCTGTACGCGGTGGTGGTGTGGCTGACGGCCACGCTGCTGCGCCACATCGGCCGCGGCTCCTTCACCGCGCTTTATTTCGGAATGTTCGGCGTCACCGGCTGCCGGCGCTACTGGTGGCGCAACCTGCTCTACATCAACAACCTGTACCCCAACGACGAGACGGTGTGCATCGACCAGGCCTGGTACATGGGGCTTGACTTTCAGATGTTCGTGGTGGCACCGCTACTAGTTTCTGCCGTTTTTGTGGAACCGGCGTGCCGGCGCCGCCTGGCTGACGCTCTGGGGTGTCGTATCCGCCATCATTCCCGGCGTCATCACGTACGTCAAGCATCTGCCGCCCACGCTGCTCAACCTCAACGTGCACGCCAGTGACCGGCAGACGCAATACGACTTCACGCTGCTCGTGTACAACGCGCCGTGGTCGCGCGCCTCGCCCTACATCATCGGGCTGGGCCTGGGCCTCCTGCTGGACGGGGCGCGCACTGACCGCTTGCGCCCGCGCCTTAGCGCGCCGCTCAACCTGCTGCTGTGGGCGCTGGCTGCGGCCGTCGGGCTGCTGGTCGTGTACGGCATGCACGCCTACAACAGCGATCCGAGCCGGGCCTGGACGCCGGCCGTGGCCGTGGCGTACGCGGCGCTGCACCGGCCAGCATGGGCGCTGGCCTGCGGCTGGGTCGTGCTCGCCTGCGCCACGGGCCACGGCGGCCCGGTCAACAGCCTGCTCTCACAGCCCGCCTGGGTGCCGCTCGGCCGACTCACATTCGCCACATACTTGACCTCCATGCAGCTGCAGGTGTGGTTCGCCACCCAGGCGCGCGTGCCGCTCGCCTTCACGCACACGCTGTTCGTGTTTTGGTTCCTGGCCGACCTGGTGGTGAACGTGGCTCTGGCCGCCGTTCTGTCGTTATGCTTTGAGTGGCCGGCGGCCGCGCTGGAGAGGGCGCTGCTGGCCGATGGCCATCGATCGCCGCCTGCCGGGCACCCTCTCCGCTCGTCTGTACATTTGCTCAGCTTCGCCAAACGACAGTTCCGGTGAGGGAGCGCCGCTCTCTGTGCAGCGGCTGTGAGATAGGTGAAATGTGTCTGCTGCGCAGTGGCGCAAATCTGTGTCGTCTTCGTCGTCGCCAGCTGCTTCCCATGACATGATGTGACGGTATGTCGCAGGATTGCTCTGAAACGCTTGCTTTTCGCCAATTAGACGTCGCCTAGCTGATCGATTCCGTTACTTTGTTCCCGATTGGACAGGTGCCCAAAGTTACGTGCTCGGCGCACGGGCGCTGGGCGCGCGGGGTTGGCGCGAGCAGTCTTGCCTTCCCATCTTGAGGAAGAAAAATTGGCATAAGCCTTATTACGTCGGATGGGAAGAAACAAGCCAAAATCACTTTTGCGCCGCTTCGCCTCATCCCGGAGCTTCCGCCGTCATCAATGCACCTGAACTGTGACACGGCCCGCCGCAGCTTGACTACAAGTTATGGCATTGCATAGCATGGATGTTGCTGTTGCATGTTGGATGTTGGAGACCGCGCGCCGCCCGGTGCTCAGTACGGGGCCGTAGCAATTATATGTGGGCACTGCGGTGGACTAATCACTGTGGGCCATAACCCAGTCCGTGCACTCGGGCAGGCGGGTGGATCGTCAAATCGCTCGGTGGCTGCCCATCGGGTGATTGTGCACAACAGAAAACCAGAGGTACAGGGTCCCATTCCACGCAGTGTCCGCTCTTTCTGCTGGAGTGGTACGCAGGCGACGCCATATAATCTCAACAGCTGAGTACGTCTTGAAGCCTCTCTGACAAGGACGCTAAGTTGCTGGCTGCCGTCGGCAAAAATTGGCGGCTGTGACGAGAGATTCATGTTCGCATCCATCTTCATCTCTACCTTCGGGCACAGATCCTTGCGATTTTCATCAAACTTATTACATGGATGCGGGATCTCTCTCTCTCTCTCTCCTCTCTCTCTCTCTCTCTCTCTCTCTCTCTCTCTCTCTCTCTCTCTCTCTCTCTCTCTCTCTCTCTCTCTCTCTCTCTCTCTCTCTCTCTCTCTCTCGTCCGTGGAAACGCGAGACAGCTCAAATGGCAACGCTGTTACAATCAGCCTGCGTTGCCACGATATTGATATGAGAATCGGGTGAGGGTCGCCTTCTCTTCAGAAGAATAACAGCTTAAAGCAGTGGTCCCGAGATGTGCAGCTGGCTCGCAATTCGCGTTTACTGAAAAAAAAGTGCGGAAAAGGGACTCTCAACATGAGCGCATCTGCCTAAGCATATTTGGGGAAAGACTGGAGACCACGTTGTTGATATTATGTGTTTAGTCAACACACGCATTGATCAGAATGAATCATGCGCTACATTAATTTTCACTGAAATGCGTATGTTTCATCGACGCAGTTTTGGTGTGTCGAGAACCCGCGTATAAATGTTTTGTGACCACCACATATATTGTGAACATTAGAAACTGTGTTCTTGCGAATAGATGAATATATACACAACAAATTACCTAAACACATAGTGGTAAATTGGGCACAAATATAATTTTTCGGTGCTTAAGACAGCTTAAGCTGATGCAGTCCGCGAGGCTTCCATCTATGATTACTATGGCTACGCACATCAGGGGTGGTGAGTGTACTTTTTGTCGCCGCCCAAATTTCTGAGGGAAAAATTGTCGCCAGTATCGTAATGCGATATTATTTAGCAAAATGCTAGCTTAAATGTGAAGCATTAAGTCCATGCCCGGCAGCGTCATGAAGAATCCGCCCATCGCCGAAAGTCTCTCATCACTGCAATTTTCAATATCATGCACGCAGCCGAAAGGCTCAATTATGTACTGTCCTTCAACAGATGTTAGTATAAGTGC